ATAACACTCAGATCTGATGAGACGCCAGGAAGAATTAAGACGTATGGAAGAACTTCATAATCAAGAAATGCAGAAACGTAAAGAAATGCAATTGAGGTAAACTTAACTTCTACAGTATAATGTTCTGACTTTTTTTTTTCCCCCCCGGAACTGGGGATTGAACTCAGGCTCTTGCGCTTGCCAGAGAAGCACTTATTCCACTGAGCCATCTCCCCAGCCCTTGTTCTGACATTTAGATGTTTGTAAGTTTTCCATAAACTAGGTGAAGCTAGAGAGGTTAAATAATTGATCCGTGTTGGCTTAACACATATTCTAAAATTGGTACAGTATTAATATAGCTAGTTTTCCCCAGAGTGTCACTCATACTGTGCTGCTAGACTCAGACTAATCTAGCTAGGCTTTTGTGTTTGTTTGCTGTAACCTGGACCTTTATAATATTCTTAGGCAAGCTGCTAGCCTCCCCACCCCCACCCCCTTTGTGGTGCCAGGAATCAAACTGGGGATCTTGCGCTTGCCAGGCAGGCCTTTAATGCTGCTGAACTATATTCCCAGCCCCACTGCTAGGTTTTTTCAAATTGAACTTTAGGAAATGTGCGTGGAAATGTAGGTGGTGACACTTGGTTTAATATGCCTGATGGATATTTGCAGGCAAGAAGAAGAACGGCGTAGAAGGGAGGAAGAGATGATGATTCGCCAACGAGAGATGGAAGAACAGATGAGACGCCAAAGAGAGGAAAGTTACAGTCGAATGGGCTACATGGATCCAGTAAGTCCAGTATTACTGCAGTATAGTTGGAGTTCTACAGATGTTTGTAGGTATCGAGAGTGAAAGTTCACTCAGCTATATTAAAAAATACCTCATAGGGGCTGGCGAGATGGCTCAGTGGTCTAAAGCACCTACTTAGAACAAGCTTAGCAAAGCAAAAGGACCACGGTTCAATCCCCCAGCATTACATGCCAGCCAGGGCCGCCCCCTGGTGGGTTGAGCTGGCCACACACACAAATAAATAAATAAAAGTTAAAAAAAAAAAAAAAAAAACCTCATAGTATAGCGTTGTCTATGTTTGCCGTTTTAATTTTTTTCTGCTCTTCATATAAGCCGAAAGATTTAATTGGATTGGAATGTATTTTGTGGGTCATTTTTTTCCCACGAGTAGTAGAAATTTAGCCCAGGACCTGAGCTAACCATCTCCAGCATTTTATTTTATTTATTTTTGGCAGAACCGGGAATTGAGCTCAGGCCCTTGAGCTTGCCAGGCAAGTGCTTATTCCACTGAGCTATCTCCCCGGCCCTAAAATTTTTAATTTATTTGGTACAGAGTCTCGCTGTGCAGTTCAAACTCATAATGATCCTCCTGTCTGAGCCTCCGGAGCCCTGAGATTACAGGCATGTGCCACCAGGCCTGGTTTTATTTTGCAGTGTGATCTCTGTATAAATTGTCCAGGCTAATCTGAAACTTGGAATCCTGCTGCATTCAGCCTCCCAGTTGTTGGGTTGATGAAGATGTGTACCACCATACTTAGCTTAAAGATCTTACAATAATTAAGTCTGGGGCTGGAGAGATAGCTCAGTGGACTAAGTGCTGCTTATGCAAGCACAGGGACTGGGATTTGATCCCGGGCACATGTTGCACTGGCCCCCACCCCTGGGTACACTGCGCCTGCCCTGGAGATAGGGTGATGGTGCATGCCTGTGATCCCAGCACTGGGGAGGCTGAAAGTGGGAGGATCAATAAGTTGAGCTGTGTAGTGAGACTGTGTACCAAATACGTACAGTAGTAATTGAGTCTGACTAGTTCGCAGAATTCTAATTTTTTTTTTTTTTCCCGGAACCAGGGATTGAACTCATGCCCTTCCACTTGCCAGGGAAGCGCTTATTCCACTGAGCCATCTCCCCAGCTGTATTGCTTTTGTGGGGGGG